GCTTGCAGTGTTGTGTGTTTATATAGTCATAACTCACTGACAATTCGACCAATTCCAGGTCCATGCCATCATCTAGGAGTTCGTAGCAATCTGTAGCATTTGGAATCAAGACTAAGTCAAGATTATGAGTGGCACCTTTTGCCGCTTCTCTTCATCTTGATCTAACTATCCTCTTTTTTTTTCTTTCTCTTTTATATTCTGTTGAGATGTTATGCTTTGAGTCGCACTGTGTCTCTTCATCTTGCACTAGCTATCCTTTTTCCCTTTTATATTCCGTTGAGATGTTATGCATTGAGTCATCAGGACGCTCTATGCAATTGATGTTGTGTCGTCTTTTGGATTCCTTTTTGAAGTTTCTACTTGAGTTTTCAATCGATCGAATTAAGCATTCATGCAACACCAAACCAAAAAAAAAAACATTTCAAAATTGCATCATCGTAATTATACATCAGAGAGTTGTATGACCTCTACTCGGATTTATCCCTCTCTCACCAATCTCTCTCATGTCTCCATTAGAGAGAAGCTCGATCAAAGCACATGCTTTTAACAGTTCTAAAGCTTGCAGTGCAGATATGTTGCATGTCTTGTGGCTAGTTGCTATCATAACCGTGATGAGTTGATACCAAACAAAAAAGTAAAGCTAAAGTTCCATAATACGATTCACACAAATGTGTGACTGGAAGAAGAAAATAAATGTAAGTTGGGTTTCTAGATCACAGTCTGACTTCAATTTGATAAATATATGTTCAGTTTATGTAAACCATTTTCTTTCATTAGCCACTTTAACTAGGCAAGAAATAAAAGTGTGCATATTGATCTAAATCGAAGAAACGAATTTAACAGTTTTTACGTATAAATTGGGGACCCTTAGTGACAATTTGATTGAAATCGGCGTAGATTAACAGCAAAGAAGTGTAATAAATATGGCTTCTAGTTTTTTATGGGATAATCCAAGATCCATTATGATTCAATCATTCGAGACAAACCCATGAAAATTTCGAGCGTTGCGAAAAAGAAAAAACAGAGCATTTTAGCCTAAGAACTTAATTAGTAACTTTTAATCGGAACAAACTATAAAATGCCTAATGATGTAGTCATCAGGCACTTTAGAAAGTAGGCAATCGGACCACTCGACCGTGCCTCGAATCGCTACTTTACTCCCATGCAAGGCGATCATTCCACACCAAACCTCACTTCCGTTGTCTTCTTTCCATAGAAACGCTAACTTCCCGTTGTATTCAGCCATTGCGACATCACCAAAATAACCATTGAGCTTCAAACCAGAAACCAATCTCCATTGTTTCTCCTTGGACTCGTACCACATTAACCCAACAGAAGGGTAATGCATGTAGAGCACATTGTCTACCACACAGATACCTCTACTGCAGAATTTCTCAACTTTAATCTTGTCACATTTACCATCTTTTTGGTATCATAAGTTATGACTGATCCACCATATCTCGCACAAATTTTTCTGTCTAGCGACGGCGTTACCGCGTCTGACCATAGGCAAGGCAATTCCATACTGGGATTTAGGGCGATTTGCCAAGTTTGCGTCTTAAGGTCAAACACTTGTGCTTCGATATCTTGATATCTTTTTGGAGACCGTCCTCCGAAAATGTATATCTTGTCGTTAACTAGTCCCAAGCCTTCGGAATGGCTGGCCTTGGAAGCACACGTGGACCCTCACGCAACTTTCCAGACCGGGAATCTAGGATCCACATGCTCTTCCAAGGCCGGCTGAAACAGCTGCCAACAAAGTAGATATCGGGACCCACCGTGAGAGCAGCAGAGTATGGCTCAGGCGGACAAGGGAACGGGATGGAGACCAAACGACGATTCTTAGTGAGAGTATACTAGTACTGTGAGAGATTAATGAGGAATCATCAAAACAGGTTGAGGAAGGATTAACATATTCCTCTTTTTTTAAACGAGGATTAACATATTCGTTAAGGCAGACGTAGAAGCGATCATCCTTTCTTAGGAGATACCGTGTCTTGTGAAGCTCAGAGGAACGCACGAGAGATCGCAACCACTTGGAGACGCAAGAGAGAACTGGGTAAAACCGTTTCAGCACACGGGCTAAAACGTTTAATACCATGTCTTTTGGAAGTGACGAAAACAAAACCGACGGTGCCTCCTTGGTCGTGGTAGACATCGTCTTGGTCCTAGTCCGAAACAACATGAGCTTTCTTTATAATATAAAGGAACAATGATCCTTTCCCCTCTTTTAGAATCTGTATATTATGCTCACGGAGATATTAGGGCTGCCTCGAATTATTTATAATTACGTTAAAATTTTCATATAATTGAATATTTTCCAAATTTTAGTTTTACATTATCTACATAAAAAAAAAATTCAGTTTAAGATATTTTATACTAGATATTTCGCGCGAGATTTGTTTAAATAATTTTATAAAAACCAACAAATTGGCTTTAAAAGATAGAGAATTATTTTGTATTTTCTTAATTGGTATTATTTTATGACATATTCTCTGGTCAGATTACTATATTTCAAATGAATAGGAAAGAAAAAAAACAAGCCAATCTAATTTTTCTATAAGAAATCAGAGCTAGATGAGTGAACATAAAGATTTTATTTGTCATATTAATTAAAAACTAATTGTTTTACGTTACAATGTGAAAACAAAGTGATTGATGTTCGAATACTTTTAACGATCTCGGAAACTAACATAATTCATGTTCGGGTAGTTTCCACAACTTTTTAGTCAAGTTTTGTTAATTTATCGGANAATCTATTATCTTCTTCTATAAAAATTTGATCATACAGATGGAAAAAAAAGTTGATTATACATTTATACAAACAAAAATATCTATGACATTCTATTTTTTTTTCTCTAGGTGGGAAGACATGAAGATTTTAATTGCCATGCTAATTTGGAACTGACTTATTACATTATGAAGTGAAAACAAAACGTTCTTGGCACCTCTAACGATCAGTCAGAAACTCACAGGATTCCATTTTCGGATTATTTTCACAACTATGCAATATAGTCGAGTTTCAATAATTAATTATGGCAATCTAAAATCTTCTTCTACGAGATCTACACTACAAAATACATCCACGACAATCTAAAATCTTTCTCTAAAGGGCTTGGATCATAGTACATGAAGATTTTATTTACCATATTAATTAGAAACTGACGATTTTACGTAATGAAGTAAAAACAAAACGTTCATGGCGCCTCTAATGATCTGTCAGAAACTGACAGGATTCCATGTTCGGATTATTTTCACTACTATACAAAATATTCGAGTTTCAGTAATTAATTATGGCAATCTAAAATCTTCTTCTAAGAAGAGATCTATATATAAAACACATCTACGAAAATCTAAAATCTTTCTCTAAGGGGTTTGGATCGAGGTACATGAAGATTTTATTTACCATATTAATTAGAAACTACTATTTTACGTAATGAAGTGAAAACAAAGCGTTCATGCCACCTCTAAAGATCAGTCAGAAACTGACAGGATTCCATGTTCGGATTATTTTCACAACTATGCAAAACAGTCAAGGTTCCATAATTAGTTCCATAATTAATTCCGGCAAACTAAAATCTTCCTCTAGTAGGGTTCCATCATATATCTATTCTATAAAACACATCTACGGTAATCTAAAATTTTACTATAAAAGGTTTATATCGTGGTTAGTTAGGAGGACATGAATATTTTACTTGTCATATCAATTAGGTTTATAATTGAAACTAATTGTCTTACATTATGAAGTGAAAACAAAGTGTCCATGGCACCTCTAATGATCAATTGGAAACTGACAGGATACCATGTTCAAATTGTTTTCAAAACTTGTGCGAAACAGTTAAGTTTCACTAATTAATTACGGCAGTCTAAAATATTCTTTTAACAAGCTTGGCTTAAACACATCTATTGGATACCTAATCTATGTAGAGAAATCTTCCAACTAACCTCTGTAAAATTCCCGGCAAAATGAGACCAACGTGGACCGTTCCAAATTCTTGCAATTCTATTCACCTGCAAGGGGAATTGGTATAGCAAATAACGCATAATCAGGTCAAAAATTTTGTTACTTATTTGAAGTCTAAAACATATCAAAGTAAAAGAAATGAGAAGAATCTGAAATAGTTGTTGATTGAAGGGGTAAAAAAATGTAAGGTGAAGAAATTTCTCACCATGGCCTTGTTCTTCTTCCTCTGCAAAGTTTTGATCAAGACGAGACTTCTCTCTCCTTGCAAACATCGGCAAGAACCGAGTTAGAATTCTGAAGACGTTACGACGAATGGTCTCTGCATGCTCTGCTTCAAGAAGAAATTCCTGCAACAATGAGAAATCTCTAATTAAGCTCAAACCATTTGCAACAAATCTCAAGAAACTCAAGTAAAATGATCTTCAACAGATTAATAAATATATTGAAGCAATTAGTGAATTACTTCATTAAGGTTAACTTTTATCGTTTGTGATTGACTGGGAAAAGCAGCAAGTGTATGCAAGTAACACACTAACTTAGATTAACTTTTCCCTTCAGAAGAAAAGACGGTCTACGGAAGATAAATCAAGTCTCATGATTAAGTTTCTAACCTGATCATCCCTCTCAATTGTCACTCCGTACCAAGTGACAAACCTGGCAATAATCAAAAGGCAGTAAACTCAGAATTTCAGAGATGGTCTTTAATATTATAGGAATCATTACTAGAAGG